ACCTGGATCTCAATATGGCGGCCACGAATCGAGCAAGTCGCGCTCAATAAGGCTTAGCGAGAACACTAGGTCTCTTGCGCGGAGCGAGAGGAGCAGCAAATAAGAGCGTAACACGAGCTTTCCGCGAACTGTATTTATTTCCGAAGCCGGCTTCCCCCTGCAGGTAAAGGAACTTACGTTTCGAAAGCATGCAGCCACTCCGTCTTCTCATCGTCAGCACTGCGATGTTAAACGGAGACAACCGGCACCCAGTTCGCGCACTTTATGTCTTATTTTTGCTATTCCTCGAGCCACAATTCCTTCGTCAACCGTTGCGTCATCCGCACATCACGGAGGAGTGGTAAACCATTCGCCCGCAAAACCAAAAGCCGCTCTCAAAAAAAGCAAATCCGAAGCAGCCTCTTGGCTCATTTCAGCACGGTAACACGAAATTATGGCGTACCCGCGTACAGTAAAAGGAGGCTAAATCGCTTGCCACCAGATGGCAGGGCCAAGCAGAGTAATCGCAAGTAGCTAGGGTAGGTGGCTCTAGGTACCGTCCAATTCATGTTCTACAAAAAATATTTTTATTTTCTCACGCCACCATTGCGCTTCAGGATCCTCTATTATACACACATGTAGACACATTACGCGTACTACAAGCATCAGCTGAACATACTGAGCGCATACACATGCTCGAGCTCTGCGTTTCCGTCTTTTATACTGATCGTTTTGAACGTACGGAATTTCTCGGTGACTCCCTATCAATAAAAAATATTCCCATCATGTTGATTTCTTTCCAGCAATGTCATACATCTGAGAGTAATTATAATGGCTGAGGGGATGAACCTCTTATTAAAAAGAAAACGCTAGATCATGCCGTAATTATTTGAAAGCCAATAAATCAAGCCGCTCCAATGCTGTTCCAAGCCATGAGTTTGTTTTCCCGCATGGCACTTCGCGGCCAGTATTTCTATTGAAGTGCTTGTTTTTCTATTCGTGCTGTTCGCGCACGGCTGCAATTGCCGTCTTGAATTAATTTCTGTAAGCGGATATTCACTCGGCTGGAAGCGATGCTTCACGGGCAGAAAAATCGCTTTTCGATCAACTTCAGAGCAATCAAAGTCACGACTTGCGGCAGGTGTTAAGTGTATGGAGCTACGCCGTGGTGAGCTCGAAAACGTCTTGCGCTCATCCCAGCTCGCCACTTGGAGGGCAGTTTCTCCAGGAACCGTAGTCTAATTAAACAGCAAAATAAAGGATAGCTTTTTTTTCGATTTCACCTGTTCTTTTTTTTTTAATGCTAAAATTCCACTGTAGATATACGTACTTTCCGTCATAATTTCGTACTTTTCAGTCTTTTCCCTAAGCGCAATCGCTCTCGGGGACCGACAGTCACACTGGCCACTGTACGATAGGAGCTTACCGTTCAGACCAGCGTTACAGCATGACTATCCGCACGTCGATCGACTGCACCTAATTCCTCAAGTGGTCTTAAACTCTTTAATGTAAAGCGGAATGTCAACCTTCGACACCCCGCCCCCTCCGATCACGGCCCGACCAGCGGCATCAATGCCCGACAGTTTACGTCATCTCATCTTGTTGTTACACCACTGATACGCGAACACACGGTCACATCGGCGATAATTCCAGTATTCTGTTCACTACGCACAACACCGCCATCACGACGTTGCTGCTATGTTGCTGACACGCAGAAATACAGAACCACGTCGAACGCCGGTTGGCACTCGGCACGGAAAAACAGAACCGAACTCGGCACGGCGGGCACCTAGGCAGCCGGCAGGAAAACCTGCTTGCCTTGGACGCAGTTCCTGCGATTTCCATAACGTCAAAAACGTCGACACAGTTCCGCGTAGTTCCGCTACTGTAGTTCCGCGTGGGACCCGCAATCCAGAGACGGCCATCTTACCCAGTGTACGTAGCACTGCTGGCACTGCTGGAAACTTCGCTGTTTCTAGAGGCTTCGTTTGCTCGTTTGATAAAATTAGTGGTAAAAACGTCAATGCAACCGAAATGTTCTGCACGTTTAGACTAGAAGGCGGAAATACACGCGGCCTTCGCTGCCGCTGACGCTCAATCAACTCAACAGCATTTATTAAACAACATGCGCGCCATGCTCAAAAAACGAAACCGAAAGAAGGTGAGTGGGGAGGGCGAAAGCTTTCTCCCGTCTGCCTGGAGAAGGAGAAAAACGTCTCGTTCCTCCCTTCGTCTCGTGTCCGCTTGGGGGCGCGTCAGTAGAAGGAAGGAAGACGCGCCGTTGCTACCTTTTTCCTCCATTTTTTCTTAGAGTGTACCTTTTCTCCCTCCTCCTCACCTCCTCATCCTGCCTGCTACTCCGCCACGGGGGCCACGTGACCCCCATGAGGCCACGTGACCTCAAGGGGGGGGGGGGGGGTCACGTCAATCCCGTGACGTCATGGGGGTCACGTGACCTCGCGGTTACGCCGACGCCGAAGCCAATGCCGACGGCGACGGCGACGCCGCGCAAGCCGGAAACGGGCGCCTAAAAGCTGCGCTCTAAAAAGTTTTGAGTCGTGCTCTGTAATATTTTAATTAATTATATGTTGGTTTTGCTTGCCAACCATCTCTTAAAGGGGTACGGAAACCAAATTCTAAAGCCTATCTCTTTGCTTGAACATGAGGAGGGTTAAAATAGGAATTCACCGATACCAATATTCCGTCGGATAACCCGAGAAAACTTATTTTAAACTGAATAAAATGATAACCAAAAACCACCTCGTGGATATCTGTGAAGCTTCCATAGAATGTAATGGCGACAACATGTTCGTAAGAGCAGCGCCACAACGGGAAGTACGCTCACTTGCAGATATTGCCACGAGCGCAGCTGACTAAGTTGGCAGCGCGCTCGTGGCCTAACCGTTATCGCGCGTGCCTTCCTCGCAAAAAGCCAAGGTTCGATTCCTGGCCGCGGGTGCGCATTTTTGTTGACTGTTCTGGTAAATTCGAGAACTGTGTTGCTAATTCGAGGTTAGAATGTTCTGCACGCCGAAACTTCTACGCTCAGGGGCGCCGCGTGGCACGCCGGAGTCAGTCTCGCCCCAGTGTTCGATCCTGCTCTCTCGCCGACTTCGACGCCCGCGACGCTCTGTTGTTATCTTCTTCCTTTTCGTTTTGGGCACAAGTTCGCCCTATTAAACATTTAGTTTCCTCTGTTATTCTTTGTTTCTTTGCCTGTTCCTTCGTGACAATATTACTTAGGCCTGAACGTAGTACCGAAGCGCTTTGGTGAAAAATGTAACAACAGAGTTGGCCACCGTTCATAGTATCGGGTGGTCGTTTCGGCAACACGTGTTTGGGGTGGTTTGGGGATTGTGTACGTGCGATGTAATATTCACGCTACGAAATGTCTATTTAAAGAAGCCCGAATGCCCAACTTTCCTGATGACGCGGGATAGCCGCCTTGGTCGACCGCAACTGGATAGCGAACTCGATCGCTAAGAAGTTAACACAACTACCATCGTTGCTAAATGGAAACGACCCTTACGGCTCTGCAAAGCGGCGAGTACGTAGACAAATCGCTGCGGCGTTTTTCGTAGTTTCGGGGATGCGGGAGACAGCCAACGTCAAGGAAGATACGTTTGAAATAAAAGAGTGTCAGCAAGATCCACGTAAATACCTGTTCGCACTGGGAGCGGAACCGCACTGCACCGCGTTCATGGTAACCACTTCTAGGACGATCTTTTACAACCAATTTTATGAACCGTCGGGCCTCTAGCGATCTCTAGACAATCGACTCGATGCTGACGTGACTCTTGGCAGAGCGTCACGTCAGCATCGATTGGCCACTGCTGGCTAGGTACGACGAGCGGAAGGACTGGCTTTACCCCAAAATAGGGTTCAAACTATTCATACGAGAAAGGCTCACAAAGGTCGCGTGGGCGTATTCCATTCATCAAGCCAGTCGGTCGGTCGTGTCCCGGGTCCCGGGTCCTCGAAGTGTTTTGCTAAGCCTAGCGTTCCTAAATAGTATTTGGTGGTGGCTTGGTTGGTGAAATCGTTGTAGCTTTTTCAGGTATTTGTGGTTCTAGCGTTTGTTTCCGCCGCGGCGTTCAATTTCAAGTACCTTTTTTTCTCTTCTCTCGCTGGGACGCGCACAGAGAGCACGTGAAATGCACGTTGGTAATCACGACGACGTAAATGAGCAATGTTGCCGGCGATGTAGATTTAATCACAAAAAGTGCGTGAAGCTTCGTAGCTCTCGTAGGCATGGTCGTAGAATTTCATCGTAGCGTACGGAAAACTTGCAATAGTTTCCCTTTTTGAATTCAAATATCTTCTTAGGTTTTGCTGTAAGATCGTTTCGTGAATAAGCTCTGTTACTTGTTGCGGACGACGAAGACAAGGCAGACGAATCGTACAAACACGACTCTAGTACGAATCGCTTCTCGGCCATCATGGCCACTGGTGATGAGCGGCGTGGCGACGTCTTCGTCCTTATTATTGTCATCATACCCAACCCTCTCGTCGCCTTTGTCGGCGACTCGGAACACTCGAAGCTGCTCCGCCGTTCCGCCGGCTCCGCGATATGGTACAGCCCTCAGGTATTCCAACTAAGCGAGATTGTAACACGTTGACGCCTCCAAGTGGCAAGACGCATAACTAAGGTACGCTTGGCCCTCCCAGGCATGATGACGTCAAGACCGGCAGGATTGACCGGATCTCCCGAGATGCATCGCGCTCTTCGACGCTGATTTTGAAGCGTTCGCCAAAATCCAGGCATTCAGAACGAAAAATATAGCCATCCGCTTAAAATATGACTATGCGATTATCAATTACCGGTTTATCTTATCCCATTTGACTTATCTCTAGATGTTTTCCGTATATTTTAAGTTTCGATTCAGTATCCGTTTAAAGCTAACTAGGAGTATTTCTGTGAATGATCACTGGTTCGGCCTTGTCAAATACTCAAGTGGGTGACCTCAAAATTCATGCAACTTGCAATTTATACTTGTTTTATTTTTTTTTTGTCATTCCAGGGGAAAAAGGGGACAAACCCGGACTTCATGGTCAACTATACGGTATGTTCTCAAACATTCTCGTCGGAACATTTAGCACGAAAAAAACTACCACCTAGCATCTTTACTAGTAGCTGCCTCATTTCTAAACTACAACTCAGTCACACCACTTGTCGCAAAATATAAGAACGTGCTTTGTGAGCACACCAATGGAGTTCACGCCCACAACGCATCTTTGGATAAATCGACAAAATAAGAGAAGCTGACTATTAGAATGAGAAGTGCAGGGCGTCTCTTTTTAATTCCGAGACTCCAGCACGCGCGTGTTGCCCTTCCTAAGGCTTTGGCAACGCGTGCACTCTCGCTCACAAGACACCGCAGCGGTATCGAAGCTATTGGCAACTCTAGCAAAGTCGACGGCACCTTAGGGGCTAGAACAGAAAGCTGTGGCGGCAGGTTTGCTCTCCAGCCTTCCTGAGTTAATCAGATATTAACAGCGTCTGGCGGTGAAAAGTCGAAGCCGTGGAACTAGGTAAAAAAAAAAAAGCGCATAGCAAATTCCTGTGCAATTGTGTTGCACGTGAACCGTATGGTTTCAGTCCAATTCCTTTGGGATTGACATTCACGCTCACGTCACTCTTCATCGGTTAGTTTAGCGACTGTCTTGAAGGGACACTGACACCCCCAAAATTCTCTGTTTTAGTCTTCTCCATTCGATTCATTATCATGTCAGAAGGCTACCCAGTCAATATTTTGCTACAGCGTCACGCATATTTTTAATAAAGTAAAGAAACGAAACTGTTTGAAGCCCAAACCGAAACTGGACGGGGGAGGAAAAAGAAATATAGAGGAGGAGAGAGTTGGCGGAAGTCACGTGGCTGTGCAACTTTTTTTTTTCTTCAATCAACGTATTTACGGATTCTTAGAATCCACAAAAAAAATTGTTATCATATTTCGTTTCTATTTTTAATACTGAGTGTGTGCCTTCGATGACCCACGACGTTGATTATATATTTGGTGGTTGTGTCTAAATCATAGAAAACGGCACGTGAACACGAAGAGGAAAGTGACAGCGACTCAAACCGTCCAGTTCTTGATCGGCTGTTTTCGGGTGAAAAGAAAACGAATTTCGAGCGGAAAATCCTGTTCTGGGTAGTTTGGCCCTCCTATGTCATGTACAAACAAAAACCTTGGCGAGCACAAATACCTTGCCAGCGTCAATTTAACGCGGGGCATGTAAACTCGATTGCAATTTCTTGAATAGAGATGCCGGCCCTAACCCGGGTTTTAGACCCCTGCCGCCCTTCCAACCCTCTATAGCCGCGAATGTTTCTCCGACGACATCCAACTGCCGTCTAGCGGACTGGCGGTGGCGCGTGAGTGATTACGCAATCACCAGTCAATCAGTGTCGAGTGAGCGTGGCCTCGCACGTGACGTCATACCTGAACCAGCCAATCAGCGTCAAGCTAGGGGGTATGACAGCGTCGCCTGGCTCAGCCAATCATTATTGAGTTAATCGGCGGCTTCACTTTTCGGCTTCACAAGTTTCTAGACTCCCCCTGAAGCGACAATCTACGTTTCACGTGAAAAACACGCGTTGAAAATCGCCAATAGAAACTCGCGCTGAAGGTGGGACAAATGAAAAACCTCCCTGCAGTTCTCGCCCTATCAGTGATTCCACTAATGCGCAAAGGAACATATCCAATGCGTATAAATGATCCACTTCAATCGCTTCGCCCAACCTCCAGATACGGATTCGGGCTATATATATACATGGGCAGTTTCCGATTGTTTGTTTCCGTACTTGTATGCCAGACCAAGTTTAATTAAATATCACTTTCTCGTTCCCTGAAATCCTGGTCACCCTGTTGTTGCTCCCGGTTGGCAGCAAGGCAGGACTTTACTTTATGTCCGTGCGTCTGCTTTCCCGCTGAACCCTTGTTAAGCCGACAACTGGGATCCAAAAAAAGGGGTGGAATTGCGGCATAGGACGAGGCTGGAGAAACGTTTTGTTCAAATATATTTTGACTTATAAATGGAGTGTTGTGACACTGAGAATGACGTAAGAAGGTGAAGCATATACATACACATAAGTATACACATACATTTGCATATACATATTGAAGGAGTTCCCGAGAAACGAAAACCATGTATTTCGGCCCGGGTAAATAAACTATGCATCGCAGCAGAGATGGCAAAACTACTTTCAAGAAGTTAATAAATTTCGTTACTACTTCCCGGAGAACTGCAAAAATTTAATTAAATTGCATTACGAATTTAAGCAGACAAAAAGTTCTGCGGAAATCACAATACAATTACTTTCCAAAAGTAATGAAATCACTTTAACATTACTTTTCAATAACTTCAAGCAGTAATTCGTGCTCATTTTATTCACACTATATATGTACCAAAACTCAGATCGACCTTTTTACACCGCAAGAGCCTTATGCGCCTGAATGTAAGCCATACTGAGCGGTCGTTTTGCTGGCGCACACGAAATAAATGTTAAACATAATGAATAGCTTCTTCTCTAGACGTGACTCAAAGACAGTCGACTTAGCGGTTTCGTTGTTCATTCAACAGGCAAGGGCCTTAGTTAAAGGGTGATATGTTTCCTTGTTTCCCTTCTTCCTGATTTATAAGAAGTCATAGCCCGTGTCAGTATGTTAAGTCGAGCCATGGGAGCTTGTTCTTACAAGGAGTTGTCACGTGAAACGTTTCCCTTCTGCTCGGGCGCATCTAATCCTATTCTCCCAAAAGCACTAGTCGACGTATTCCCGGTCTTTCCTCTCAAGGAGTTTTGCTCCCGAACACCCGAAGAGCCCAAATTATCGCACGTTGTAACACAAGAGGGCTAGATATTTGCTTGGCAAAAGCGTCGCCAGTTGAGGAAAGGGATGGCACTAGCTTCTTAAATTGTGCATTTTCCCAACAAACGGGTGGCAATATCTGCTCGTACGCTTATCCCCGAACAAACAAACAAAAAAAAAAAAAAGGCAGTGAGCCATATGGCGAGCGGCATCTGCTTTTCTCGGTACCCGTCTTTTCCGACTACAAAATGCACCCTACTTAACAAGGCCATGGATACGCACGAAACGTTCTCGGGCCTTGACCAGGCATTTGGAATAGACTATTTACTCCGATCGTTTGTTGTTCAGAATTGTCGACGCTTACTGTTTAACCTTGCCTGACAAAATAACAACAAGGCTGGGGATCTGTTTGTCCTGTTCTCTCAGTTTTTTAAGTGTGTTGACGTTGCTGGTGATATTCCCTTCGCCTTGTAGCCTACAAGCCGTTCATCTCTAAGCTTACAGTGCAATGGAAGCTACTTGGTCGTTGGAACAGTCACACGTCTATCTTTTGCCACGTAACCACACTTCCGTTCATACCACGTGCAGAGAAAGGGACGGGTCAGGTGATCAAACGAAGGCGGTTTATTGGTTCTGGTGAGTCGGCAGCTTCCACTGCACTGTCTGCTTAGGGATCAACGAAGCAGACTATCGTCGTGATGGCGTGACGCCGTGAATGTGTCTTGCCTGGAGTTCGTGAGCCGTGGCCTTTCACCGATGTTTTTCCACCTATTTTTTCCACCTTTCCAGTCTGCCGTTGTGCGTCTGGCGAGTGCTTGGTGCGAGGCCTTGCGCTCCAATTTCCGTCGCTTATTTGCTCTAATGTCTCTTTCACGAAATTTCACTACGCAAAATAATTTCTCTCTTACTTTCTTAAAAGTTCGCCAACGAACTTTCCCCTTTGAGAAAAAAGTAATTTCAAAAGCAATGAGTAATTTTTCGAAGTTACTGCCTGGAAGTAATTCATTACGGTACTAAATTATCAGCCTGTAAAAGTAATTAATTACATTACTCATTACAAAAAAAAATAGTTTAATTACTTTAATATCATTACAAGGTCATCTCTGCATTGCAGAAAGCTAAAACTTCTTGAGAATGTGACGCTAGCGGTTGGGATAGAATGCGAAAGTTTGAAAACATGACGTTACCTGTGTCAAAAGATACTGAAGAGAAAAAAAAATGAAATTTCGATATGAGGTGATCCCAACCTAAGCCTAATATCTTCAAAACAATAAATGCCATTGGGGTCGTCTGTACAATCTATTTCAGCTTAGGCGCCGACTACGGGGGAGAGGGAGATTCAGTCCACACGGAAGACGCACGGGAAGTTTGTAGAGCCTACCACAATACGGCTATAATTAAAAGTAGTCTGTACGAATGTCTTAATTGATAGTGTTTTATTTTATTTTTGCAAATCATCTTATTGAGTTCTGTGGCCACCTCCCAGCCCTTTACTGATTATTCTTTTTGAAAAACAAAAAAACACGCAAATGTAGTCGTGATATTAATTCCTTTTTTTTTTTTTTTTTTTTACAGGAGAACGACAAAGCAATGGTACACGATACCTCAACACTGTGCCGAATAAGGCACACAACGAAATCTGAATGCGAAATACCAAACTTGATCAAGTAAAAAATGCACCGCTTCCGCGATACGCTTTTCTCTTCATTCTGATCTGGGAGTGTAACGTAGCCCACGATTGAGGGGAAACTTCCCGGAAGAGTAAAATCTTGCGATCATCACAAGTGAAAAGAAGACGGAAACGCTTCTGAGTGAAAATGAAATAAAATCAAACATAAACTGTCGCAGCTATGTTATAATTCGAATGAGCTAATGACTGACAGATAGGGTTAATAAGAGGGTTTAATTTCTCCAACAATGTTTCGAACGAGACTACGCTATTCAGTGCAATCTTCATTTGAGGTATTCCCACTTAAAACAAACGGGATAATTAAATCTCGAGACAAAACCAAAATATTGAACAAAGCAAAACAGTGTTTGATATTTCTTCTCCTGTTACCAGCTATTGCATTTTCCCCATTTCTGTTTGATTATGATGTTTCTTAACCAGTTAGCTTGCATACTTTTTGTTCGTAACAATGAGTTGTGTCGTGTGAGCGTGTACAATGCCGCTCTACCGGTCTCCATGCGTTATTTAATTTTTTAACGCACCTTTATATTAAACCCTCCCATCTCATGTAACGGCTCCGTTTCAGACCGTAAACATAACACGCCATTAGTCCGGATTTATGATTTTGGGATGCGCATTTGTATACTAGCGGCAAAGTGCTCGCGCAGGTAAAGAGCAGTAAAATAGGGTAGGCTTAGGGCTTGTACACATACTTCTTACAACCGTGTGCCTCTCGGAATCTCTCATGTCAAGACAAGAGAGATCCATCTATCGGGTGGCCTTGTAACACTTTCAAGTTCTATATATTTCCTATTATTTTCGAGCATCATTCTTGCTTTCTCGACTTGAGAAACGTTTTCGGCAATGCTACACACGACCATTCCTTGTAGATAGTACTTAGATTTGATGTCACAAATACCGAAAAATCTTCGCAATTGATAGGATCTCGGTAGATCCTACGATCCCATGCTGAGGCTTGCGGGCACGTCGACCCATCGGGCGCGTTCGCGTGCTCGAAGTGACTGCCAAACAGATCCCTGGGTGCAGTGTGTAGCCCTCCCGAACATTTCGGTCACGAATCACGTTGGACTGATCAGTGATTTCATTTTGACTCTGGAAACACGCTGCCAGTGGTCTTCACTGGGGCGTTCTGTTCGAAAGGCGCCTATCTGTGATTGACGAGCAATAAGCGTCTTCGGGTAAGCAATGAATTAGTATCCTTCTGAAGAACATAGGAACCTTGGAAAATGTGCGTAAGTATACCGCGTTTAAAGTACAGTTATCAGGCTCGTTGTAACCAACTGTACCTAAATCTACTATATTTATTTCTCATAAACATGCTACAGGTATTCAGTACGGGAGGTCTTTTGCGGCGTGCGCGCATATTCTCGATTGCATAACACATGTCGGAGATCTTCGGACACAGTCACTTCCACATATCACCTGTGCTATTTTAACGTAAACCGCAACGTTCCTGGAGCTTGGAACGAACACCACACACGTCGGTTAGCTATTAATGCGTTGCCACCGAGCGTTGCGATTTATGTTAATCGATTTCACCCATTTGCCCGCCTTGTTGTGATCACATGACGAGGTGAGTGTGGAAGTTGTGAAATCGAAACCGCTTTGACGAACGACACAAAATTTGACCCTTTTTGTGTTGTGTTGTTTGTTATTTTTTTTCTTCGTATCTCATATTTTATCTTCACAAGTCTAGTTTGTTAAATTAGCTATTTATATTTTAAAATGCATTTATTTAATGTAGTTTATAAGCTTGTTTTGTTTAAAAAGTTGCAACGCCAAATATAGTGATCTGGCTACTCTGGCAATGCTCCGAAACTATCCGAGCCTACCAAAAACACATCGAGTTTCGGCCATCGTTCCGAAACTTTCCGACACCGCAGCTTTAGGTGCGAAACCTCTTTCGAAAAATGTTTCGCCCCATCAGTCGTGACAACTGTCGCTTTGCTGTCAGTAGAATATAGCAGTATGGTGCCTCGAACGGGTCTCCGACTGGTGTGTTAACCGCGTCCAAAAAAGTGGTCCCTCGATTTCCGCCTGATGACGTCAAACAAGTGTCATGCTATCACCGGTCGCGATCCTGGCGGTGTCCCAACAGCTGTGGTGTAGATGGCAGACGCTTGTTCTGTTGCAGGACGCTCTCCACTGTGACAGTCCACGGAAGCTAGAGCAGCAGGAAGTTGGGACGCCCGAGGCGCCGTGACGACAGCGACACTCGCTTTCGCTCGTGCTTTTCGCCAGCATTTCTACGGCAAACCGCCGGGATCGCGACAGGCAACAGCAGTACACTCCGGCTTCTGTGACGTCATTTGTTGCCACTTTGAGACCACTTTTGATGTGTGGGCGGGATAGGACGCTAAACACACCAGTCGGAGACGCGCTCCAGGCACCATAACATTCGCAACTTTCAGCGATAGTGGTACCGCGGTGTGAGAATCGCGTTATCTAGCTCCTGGATGATTGGTTTCATAATAAAAAGGCTTGCCTACGCCTTCTGGACGTGAACAAATAACGTATGGCTCTGATACTGCTCGTATATAGCAAAACTAGAATTACTTACACGTCGCAGACCCAGCCTCGCACCGCTGTTCTACGACGATCATGCAGATGACAGCCATTTTGATAGGCACCAGTGCGCCCTCTATAGGTTGTGAAAGTTGCGAATAGCTGAAGATGTGATTTAGTAGATGTGTGGCCTCGTAAAAACACTCAATAGGGCGGCGCGCTCCACGCGATCACGTGAATGTTTGCGTACAGACGCCACCAGATTTTGTCCGAGAGGGCCACTAACAGTCTGTAAAATATCATAAAAAACATATATCTTATTGCTATGCACTGGGATAACAATGGAAATTAGCCGTCACGTTGAAGCTGCTCCTCCACATACGGCACCACAAAAGCCAAAAAGAGTTTCGAAAGGAACACCCTGAAACAAGTCCAGTAGATCCGATCATGGGTGAGTAACAGTATTAGCCAGACAGTTGTAATGCAGCGATCCAGCATAATAGTTTCCTTCTGAGCAAGGACTAACTCATTTAGGAAAATATGCACTAATTTGCTTAAACTTGGTCCACAATGTAGCAAGTTCACAGATGTTTAGATAATGTTCTCTTAGTCTGTGAGAACAATTAATTGCCTTCGAACGTTTCTCGGAAAACATCTAGTTTAAGTTACAGAATAGTGGCTAAAACGAGTTTATGCAGATGAGCCTGTGAATAACCTTTATTCGTAGAATGTCGTTACGTGGGCAAGCAACACAGAGGAAAACATACACATGCAAGCACATAAGGCACCGTTAGTATACGTTTAATTTATTGTTTTGCGTATACAACCTAACATTCATAATTAGTATAATTGTAATTGTATTATTACTAATGTTCTCTTTATAAGTATTTCATGAAAAATTCTGCTTGCTTTAAAATTTTTCACCAAACATTGCGTTGCTACACAAAAGAGTTTTATTTGTGTTTTAATTTTATTCGTATTGGGAAGAGACACTAGAAACATTCATTTCATACTTTTTATTGCACCTGTTGCTCAGTAGCCGTGTCTTCTTTTTTAAAATTTAATCTAGCAATATTCAGCATGCTTCGTGAGCATATGGCTGATATCACACTTGGGAAGGTGCAGCCACGGTTAGGGATTTGGTGTTCCAGCCGGTTATGTTTGCTGTGCACTCAATACCAGCCTTCTTGGCTTGGTTATTGTATGTTCTCGTCGACGATTCGTTCTGGAAAACAATTTGTTTTTTTGTAAGGTCACCGTAACATTGTGACTCTAGGGGTAAGAATTAACAAAGATCATTGGAAACAATAAGCATATCTATTTGTTTTGCATTTTTTATATAATTTGTTAATTAGGTTTTAGAACGCAGATGCTCGATTCGTCTCCCTTTCAATGTCACGTACTGTACGTGTTGTTGGGAAATATTACCCAGTCAATGCTAGTTGTTGTTTTGTATTTAAGAGAGTAATGTAGTGGAAATCTTTCAAGCAATTCAGAAGTTTTTTTTTTTTTTTTTGCTACTTATTTGGCACAGCTCGTTGCGATTGTCATATTGTATGCACGAGTACTGATCAAACCAACTGGTTAAGGTCATATATAATAAAACCTCAATCCAGGCAAATTATAAATTATCCGGGGGAACATCAGCGGCGTCTCTCATTTTTCTAATAATATTTCTTAATTGGATTGAAAAAATAAAATTGATAAGGTAATTTTATTTTACATTTAATTTATTGGTTCAGAACGAATATCACCGAAAGCGTAGCCTTATCAACCTACACCTTGAAAACGACAGCCTCTGGACAGCCCCAAATTATCGCATTGTATCTTGGCAGCCAATAATACTCCAGAACCGCCAGTTGCAAATGATGCAGAAATATGCAATCGCAGTGTTCCTTTGTGGTGTACCGTTAGGGGACATATGGCAACTTGGTATCATTGGCTGTGCATTTCACCATTTTATATTATCACGACGAGTATTAATACACAAACACGCGTCATAAAAGTACATCTATCAACACACATGCTGCAAATTTGTGCTTATCAATTCTCAATGCTGCACAAATTGCAACGAAAACTTACCCCATACCAAACGAAGCTGCTAGGCATTATTGTTGTCTGTGAAGGAACAAATGAAACACTAATTATCAGGCAGATACAAACTAACCACACACAAGAAACAGGAGCAAGTAATCCTGTTGGGATAGAACTTCAAGTTCTACTTCCAATGACTAGAATAACGAGCGCTGGTTGAAGATGTTTACTCGGCCTGTCAATCAATTCAAAAGAGGTTCCAAGAAAAACCCCGACAACGGCACTTCAGTCACTCTCCATTTAACCTGTAAGCATGATGCTTGTTTCAATTAAAAAATATATAATAGACCTGTCCCAACGTAAAACATTTCCGTTTTAAATTAGTTAGCCTGAAATATGTTGGTGTTCTGAAATTGAATGCTTAAAGGAACACGAACACCCCACATTTATTTAGGTGGCTTGATATTAGTTTTGGGTAGTG